AGAAGGAAAAATCCGCTGCATCGGGAAAAACCGTAAAGGGAGAGAAAGGGAGAGAGAGAGAAAATCTTGCACGATACCGACAATTTATGGCGACAAAAATGTCGTGAGGTTTAAAAGACTAAGAGTAATGTCAGATTTAACATCAATGATTTATGAATCCATAAATTTACACATGATATTATATCCTTTTACTTTCTTAATCTTTGCAGTATCTTAGACACGCGGTATTATGATATCATGTGGAACCAAATTTTTTTTTTGAGATAAGAAACCATAACATATTACAGATGTTTTTATGACGTAGGATACTAGTAGCCAATGAAATTTCGTCAAAATTTCCTTTAAGCCAGATAACATTCGTTAAACTTACAACAATTTTGTAAAACGCAATTTCTTTTGCCGATAATTTATCATATTATTTCTTTCGTTTATTAATCAGATTTGTGGTAGAATCGAATAAAATTATTTACATCGAAGGATGTACGCGCAGGATCTCCGTGCTAGAGATTTGACGCATCAGTAATTGCAGAGATCTGAACAGATTTATGAAACACGAAGTATGTATATATATAGAACAGGAAATAGATGGAGAAGAGAACAATGAGAATCTCGTGCAGATGACATCGATCAGAACGACGACGTATCCCGTGGGGAGATTCATTCGCCTTGCCGTGCCAGGTGAATCTCGGCAAATCTGATGCGCATGCAAATCTTTGATAAGCGACAATCAACAGGTGCTGAAAGGTCAGCAGGCCATTAGGCTCTTAGCCAGCCGTTGTTGCCACAAGATTGCGTGCGCCAGCTTGGTGTAGCCGGGCTGGTCATCATCGAAAATGCTTTCGCTCCAAATGTTTCCGATCATAGACGATATGTTCGATCAATAATTCGCCATAGTTAAAACCGATTTTAAATAGTTTTTCACGAATTTACCTTCGAAACTGATAAATGATGGGTAATAGATGGACGATTTATCGTTTGCTTTTTGTGTGAGTTTTATCTGTTTCTAATTCGAATTTCAGGCGCGCAAGATATTTGTTGTTAGATAATTTATAACAAATAATCGTAGACAATAAGTTCGATCAAAAGTTCGCTATAATTAAAAGTGATTTCAAATAATTTTTTGCGAATTTAGCTTTGAAACAAGATAAATGATGGGTAACAGATGGATGATTTATCGTTCGCTTAAATTCGTGTGAGTTTTATCTGTTTCTAATTCGAATTTCAGGCGAGCAAGATATTTGTTGCTAAATAATTTATAATAAATAATCGTAGACAATAAGTTCGATCAAAAGTTCGCAATAATTAAAAATAATTTTAAATAGTTTTCCGCGAATTTAGCTCCGAAATTGATAAATGATAGGTAACAGCTGGACGATTTATCGTTCGCTTAAATTCGTTTTATCTGTTTCTAATTCAAATTTCAGGCGCGCGCAAGAGTTTGTTGCTAAATAATTTATAACAAATAATGGCTTGCTTCGAAGTTTTCTTTTTTAACGACAATTAACTTTGCGAATTCCAAGTATCCATTAAACTAAGTTTGTGGAACTCATAGGATAGCCTGGTATAAATAAAAAGGTCTTTTATTCTCAAAAACTGATTATTTTCATCCAAACATACAAATTGCGTTCTGCAATAAATTTACAAGTAAACACACTGTAAAAAAAAAAACTGACTGGAACTTCAGACATGTCTGCAGCTTTTTTGCAAATACACTCTGTCTGAATTTTTAGACACACTTCAATTTTCAGACACACTCTTCTGAACTTTTAGAAAATGATTTTGATGATTAAAAAATAAATTGTCCGATATTTCTTTCGGATACCCAGATCTGAAAATTCGGACAAAAATGTGTCTGAATTTTTAGAAAATTGTTTACAGTGCACGAATAAAATTTTATTAAAATCCCAGGATTTTCGAATGATTTCTATCTCATGAAAATCGCATCATGACCTTCCGTCTCGAATCAACATGACGATCCTCATTATCACATCGCAAGGATATCACGGCAATGTCGAATGGGGGAGGAATAGGGGGAGAAAAAGGTGGAAGGCTTCGATATATCGCGCTGAAATTGCATCGCGCGACAACTGCGAGCTTGACGAGAGAACGTTTTTCCGGCACATTGAGTCGGGATTATCCGTTTGGGATACGGTAACGGATGTTGGCAGCTATCACATCTTTCTTTTTCACTTCGTGATCGGCTTCGATATTCCACTGGTAGAGAGATTCACAATAAAGCCCTGCTGATCTGCCATTCAAGATTAACCCGCGTTCCGTTTTACCGTCAAGTGAAATTGACACGAAACATGCGCGCATTACAATGAGACAGATTTCTTTATTTGTATGAAATAAAATATAAATCCGTTTCTCGAAAACGAGTCTCTCTCTTTCTCTCTTTTTCTCTACTATGGCGCGATTAAATCGATTATGCGCGATAGAGGCGAAAGAAATAAAAAAAATTTATTAGTTAGTATTTTATATCGATATATACCGACTATTACGTTAACTTTATCTCATTGATAATTTTAAGAAAGGTTTATTTGTCGTAAAAAAATCCAATCTTAAAACCTCTAATGTTGCGATAAAAGATAAAAGCAAGATTCTAGAAATTCAAAAACTCTCGGCAAATCTACGATGTATTGGTCTTTTTCAGAGAAATTCAGACTTTTACATTTCTCCTATTATTCCAGTATCAGTTTTACTTTTATACAAATTCGTTCCTTGAGAATCGCCCGGAGAAATCGGATACCAAAGTTACATAGCATTTCTTCTTCGTGGTTCGCTCGGTATATAACGAGAATCTTGGGTGCGAAGACTTGAAAGACAGTCATAGCGTCAATATTTGAGCTGACGCTTAGACGTTCCAGCTTTGCGCGGCTCGTTTCGCTGCCGGCCATTGGTATCTCATTAAGACGACTTCCTACCAGGCCGGAAGCAAGCCGAGAGCTCAGCGGAGAGACTTCCCTTCGCCGGATATTATAATGGACAATTACCGGTTCTCTCTCTCCGCAGTTTCAACCGCCATCATTTTTCTCGAGCTATTGTATCGAGATCATCGGATAACTTCTTAATTCAATAGTATTGAATTGAAAACTCTTTGATGGTCTCTCGTTATATTTAAAAATGGCCGAGTATTAAAAGAATTGTAAACAATTCCGGTATACATTCAACATCTTCCGTGTAATCTTGATAACTCTGAAACTTTTATTTTAAAAGGGAGGGTCACATAGAGAGAGAGAAAAGAGATCCATTCGCAATTTCCGCGAAAATTTTTCCTACTATAAAGCGGAAAAGTTGGAATAAAGAGTCCGTGGCTTCGCTGAGACAAGTGTCTCGTTGCAAATTTAAAGTTACTCGACGTTCGAGCAATGTTACTTATTGATCTAAACCCAAAGGTCGTTGCATATTTATTCGTTTCGCGAATACGTCGTTACTCATTCAGTTGCCTATGGTTTCAAAGATTCAAGCGTCACCCATCGTAAGCCCGACCACACATAAATAATCCGCTGTTGGGGTGATTGTCGATGCCAGCGTGCGATTTTGCGCGTCGGCTAGATAAAATTTAATCGCCCAGGATGTAATTGGCCCTTCATTAGTGGCGCATTAATATTATCTGCGAAATCGCCCTATCATATACAGTTTCCCGATTCCCCGCAATCTCGACCAAACGGACGGTTTAAATGGAGGGAATGTTAAATTCCACGATCACTGAAGCGTAATGCCTGCTCGGAATGATACCCTCGAAAATGCGAAAACAATTCACCCTAATTATCTGTCCCGATTGCGGGAATTTAATTTGTTTATAGTTACATTGTAAAAAATTTTCTAAAAATTTAGATATACATTTTTATCTGAATTTTCAGATGGAATGTTTGAAAGAAATTTCGGACAATCTATTTTTTAATCATTAAAATCGTTTTCTGAAAGTTCAGAAGAGTGTGTCTGAAAATTGAAGTGTGTCTGAAAATTCAGATAAAGTATCTCCGCGAAAAAGCTGCGGACACTTTGTCTGAAGTTTCAATCAGTCTTTTTTACTATGTGTTCATTTGTAAATTTATTACAGAACGCAATTTGCATGTTTGAATGAAAATAATCAGTCTTTGAGAACAAAACGCCTTTTCATTTATACCGGGCTATCCTACGAGTTCCACAAACTTAATTTAATGGATACTTGTAATTCGCAAAGTTAATTGTTGTTATAAAAGAAAAACTTCGAAGCAAGCCGTTATTTATGTTGTAAATTATTTGGCAACAAACATCTTGTGCGCGCCTAAAATTCGAATTAGAAACAGATAAAACGAATTTAAGCGAACAATAAATCGTCCATCTGTTACCTATCATTTATCAGTTTCGAAGCTAAATTCGCGAAAACTATTTGAAATCACTTTGGCAAACTATTGATCAAACATATTGTCTACGATTATTTATTATAAATTATCTAGCAACAAATATCTTGCGCGCTTAAATTTACTTCGAATTAGAAACAATTTTTTTACAGTATATTTACAGCTGTTTATAGCTATTATGTCATAGTAGTTTATATTCAACAATTTATAGAGATGAAATACTATAAATTGCATTATAATTATAATATGACATTCATAATGCGTGCATGTGAGTTTGTGTGTCTTGAAGCGTGAAAAATATCTTCTGGCAAAGGCGAATGTGTATAAGTTTAAAAAGATAGAAAAACAAGTCATTATCCAGTTTCTAAACTTTTACATAATCCAAATTGCTAATGAGAAAAAAAATCTGATTTTATATTTTTAATTTAACGTTACACGAGAAATCGTCATTTTATCGATTTTTGTATAACGTAATAAAATTATACAGCAATCGCGCGAGCGAATGGATAGAATAACTTCTCGATTTTCGGAAGAATTGAAATGATGTGATCTTTGCATTCTACGTGTATTTAAATTCAATGGTCAAAGTCAACATCCAAAGTTTTCTACTTTATTGCTACAATTGTAATACTTTGAGATGTGCATTATACGTACCTGAACTTCTAACGCATGGTAAGCAAATATGAGGCCAAGCAGTATCACAGTAGACACAGAGATCAGGGTTTTCAGTGCTGTCGAGTAAAACGAGGCCTGCAACATACAACATTCCGTATTGTATATGTATCTCTGTAAAATTATTTTATATTTATTTTTTTATTTTATCTAACAACTGTTGATTTTATCCGAAAGATATACAAGCAAAAAATACATCAAGATAAATAATTGTTGTTATTTCAGTATTTCGATATCAAGAATTATACATTATAGATGGTTCGAAAATATATATATCAGCGAATTAATAATCAAGCTCGAACAATTTATAATTTTGAGATTTAACTGCGCGTTGATTGCTCATTCTTTATACATGTGGAACAATAAAATATTCGCAGCTTTCAATTCCCGTGCTTATAAAAAAAATAGTCTTTTTTCCTCTACTTTTGCATACTAAAAAAAAGTCGAAGAATCAACGAAGATGATTAATATTATGTTCAGAAAAGTCATTCGAAGAAGGGATCCGAAAGGATCCTTCATCACTAATCTTTTCCACGTCATTAGACACTTGTCGAGACGGAATCGAAAGCTTCCGTTAATCTTTCGGATCACATCGAAATTTTCGTCATAAAATGCGCCGCGCACTCTATAAATTTGACGATTTCACGTTTCTAAATTTACTGCAATTTCCTGACATTTTTATTTCAACAAATTTAAGCAGGCTCGAAGGATACGCGACCGGATATTCGAAAGTTTACGGAGCGTTTCGAGCGACGTCACCGCTTCTTCTCATATGAAAGGAGTTCTTTGACCAAGAAGTTCATTTCCCCAAGCGTCTAACGTGAGGTATCTCTTTGTAACTGAGACTTGCTATCGAAATCTCGTTAAATTTAACTTGTAACATCGACGACATCGTAGTACAAGTTACAGCGGATTATTCGCGAAGACGACGCGATTGCGATGTCGAACCAACTATCGTTTTTCCCTCGATTCGCCTCTATAACAATGGATGTTCAGAAGATAACTCCAACTCCCACTTCTTGCACATATACATAGTTTATTCGGTGCGGGTGTGAAAACGGTTTATGTGATTCTCGGTCAGGTGAATTGTGGATCGCGAATAACGAGCTGCTTTCCGGAACAACGATGACAATAGCTCACACAAGCTCGCTGGCTGAGCAAAGCCTCTTTCCACCATGTAGCCTGGAAAGGGATTAAGGGCTCATAAAAACCACAAGGGCGAAGGGGCCGGGGAAAGGAGGAGGAGCTGGGAGGACAGGAACCAATCTGAGTATTAGTTGCTCTTGGCAAAATTTTCCTAATAAATCTCAGACATAATCTCGCGGAGTACATATTTAAATTTAAATGATTCTATTATTATTATCCGCAAGATTACATTTGAGAGATATCAAAAGAGAATCCTTTAATTTTACGAAAAAAAAATTTTCGGAATACGTAAAATAAAATCTGAATACGTACGTAATGTGTTTTGTCAAATACCGGGCGTTGTAAGATTCTTAATTATATCGTTAAATTAAACCTCTATTTTTATTCAACTGCGAAAGCTTTTTCAGCGCTTTTGCATCGAAGCTTTCGCATCTGGTTGGGTGAGAGATTTCTGGTCGCCGCATAAATGGATTAAGGGATTAGGAGGCGCGTCATAAAATATGAACGCGAGATCCATTTTCGCCCGACTTTACGTTGACTTTACGAGTGCTGTGATGCTCGTGGATACGCGAAATTACCATCGTGACACTATGCGGCGCGTAAACGCGTCGCGAATTGTGATATTTGCGCGCGTATGTGTCTATTCGCCATTGTTGCCAAGACTTAAGGATGTATGTGTGTCATATGTCAAAACATTGACAAAAGCATGAAAATTTCGTAGAAAGTAGATGTTCTACTATTTCTTCTGAATGTCTGTGCAAAACCTGAGCATAATTGTCTTAACGGTTTGGAAATTATTTAAGTTTGAAGTTAGTATTGATTCTTATGGAGGATCGCGTATTGTAGCATTTATTGATAAATTTGACAAGGAAAAAACATTGTCAACGAAATAAAAATTTTCACATATATTAAAAAAACTTGATTTAAATCCGTTTACTTGTTTAAAAGTTATTTACTAAAATTTGTAGAAAAATATTATGGTAAAATTGCATAAAAGGTAACACACTTCCAATTTTATAATCTTAAATATGTTGTAGGAGAGGTTCTTTTGAGTAATTCCCCGCAAGAAATAATTGGGGGTATTGGTTTAGAAAATATAACAAATTGAAGTTTGATATTAAAACATGTGTATGCTGTATAATTTATTTTTTCATTGAAAAAAATTGTTTATGACATTTACGCGGAGGGGCGAAACCCCTCCCCCTTCACTCCCATCCCAAAAAATTCTAACCTAACCCAAATCTATTTTCAGTTTTAAAAGTAAAGTTGGGTTGGGTTAGGTTAGATTTTTTGGGGGTGGGGGTGCAGGGAGAAGGACGGAGCCTCTCCCTCGCCCACGCATTCAATAAATAATATTTTTCAAGACAAGACTCACAAATTCGTGTAGTTGCATGTCGAAAGCTGTTAACGAACTGCGAGAGATAGATAAAACACATTATTGATAAATATCCATGACCGTGTACCTATCTCGTAAATGTAAACAAACACTTTTCCCACGTCTGCTTTACAACAACTACAATGTACACAAACTTTACTTTTCTTAATATTATTTTATAATACCTGAGAAAAAGCATTAAAATTGTAAAACTTTAATTTCTTATATCTCCTAAACCAATGCTGTCCCCCACTTATTTCTTGCGGGAAATTACTCAGAAAGATCTCCCTTATAACATATTTAAATGGTGATAAAATCGAAGGTGTATTATGCAGTTTTATCAATATTATCTCTCTCTTTCTCTCTTTCTGCAAATTATTCGTTTTTTTTTGTTTCTTGCAGTTGATTTCAGGGGTATTCACGATCAAAAGTTTTTGTCATAAATTAGGAAAAATATTGATAACAACTATTTTTTTTACGAAGACGTTAAACAGCATATAATTTTGTAATACTTTAATTCTTTTTATAATCCAGATTTATTT